TTTAAATAGCATGCTTGTAGAGTATTTGCATCTAAAATTAGTTACTCGTTTAGGATTAAACCGTATATTAAATATTAGCAATATAACCATGAGAATTTAATCTGCCAAACAACAGTCTGAACAATAGAAAAGATCATATCGCAGTGCACTGCTGAGCGATGTTCACAAGCGGAAAATGAATAAATTCCAATGTGATTTGTTTACATAAATAAGCTAAAAACATGAAAAGAGAAACCACGAAATATAGGAGGCTCGCGACAGCTCCGTAGAAGAGGACTGAATATGAAACACAGATAAAATGAGAGAGAGCGAGAGGGTGCGAAGGAGGTTGTGCGCAAACAGAGTAACGAGAAAAGCTACCATATCTTTGTTAACAGTGCGGTTACGGAAGAGATAATGAGAGAGTACGTGAAAGTTGGAAGTTCAGACAGGGAATCGGATAGCACAACAATAGTATTTCGGGCACACAATCCGGTTTGTCACATGAGGATTCAGTAAACTTTGTCATAAGGTGGACTCCGGTTAATTCGACGGACAACCTGTGATGGTAGTCAGCTTACATGCGCTACCTTGTGGATGCCATATGTACCTGTAAGTTGAAAGGAGAATTTGATTGTGAATCAGATCATGGCTCTGTCAGTGGGGTTTCGCAGCTCAGTTTGTATAGCATGCACTGTACAATAGTATAGGTTACCTCCGTGCGTGGGTTCGAATACAGCCTCACAATTTCAAAATGAGACTTTATTCGGCCAAACAAAAATTTGAAAAAAAATTCAATGCAAAGAAAGCGGTGTGGCTTATGCATGGAGACACATTTCTCGTTAAGTCTTTGTAGTAATTGTGGGATCCAATGATCACGAAGTACGAATCACGAATTAGAAATCACGGATTAGCAAGCACGGACGAGACGTAAGCACTGATACACTGGTACTTACACGACAGTATCCCACGCAACCGAAAAGCGAGGAAAAGGTCACAGGCAGAGCAGTTCGTTTATTGAACGATGTCAGGGGGATTGAATAATATGTACAAAAAAGTTCATTGGTCATCTAAGCCTCTACCGATCGCGTACCAGTATTTCTGGTGTTGATCAGCTCCTTCCAGGGCTGCACCGTTTCTGATTGGTTGGTACAATCGACCTATAGTCTGTAGTCCAGAAGGTGTGACGCGTATGCGCTTTGCTCACGTCACCCAAGGAGCTTGATTAATCGCAGTTGTCCGAAAACTGTAACGTGCTGCTCCGTGGCGTGCGTCATCTCGTAGGCTCACCACAGTCTTTCATCGCGATCGGACGTTTACCCCGCTGGACTGGGCTATGGTGGCCAGGTGGTAATGTCACCAAAATACCACCCCGAGGATCTGTGTTCGAATCCCACTACCACCACCACTTGACTTGCCCCATTGTGTGTTGAACGACAGGCATTTGATTGATCGCTTACCCCTTCTCGAAAATAGTATCTTTGTATATTCAACAAAAAGGAAGTATAGTATGAAAACATGCCTCGTTGATTTCGTTCGGTTTCTGCCTGTTCTCTGGGGTTTGCACAGAAGATACCAATCAGTTGTCTTACCACATTCCAGTGCTTCCAGTACAACTTCATTTTTCCCGCTGTTCAATTCCAACGGACTCTACTACTCGTAACTGTGACCCGGTGTCTAAAGTGATGTGCCGAGTACCCGAGGTGTCACAATCGACAATAATCTCCGGTGGTTCACCCAAGTTTAGTATTGTACAGGGAAACTGCGACGCCTCTCCTGTCAGTTACTCAAACTCAGACAATTCCGAACTCCACAGTCAGTGTTGTTCTCTTTCGTGCACTACCGCTACTCCCCTGTAATGGTGCCTTACCTCCTAAACCAAGACTTCAGAACACAGTCGTCGTGGTTTAGCGATAATCACTCGAATATCACTGGTCGCTGTTGATTCAATATGCCCGGGATTTATTGGTGGTCACATCGAACCTTGTATTAAATTTACCAATACAATTCTATAGAAGATCATCTTCATCCACTGCATCCCGATTCATCATCATCTTGTCGTTCCCATCCGTCCAAAAACTCCTTCCCTTTTTGGCATTTACCCTCTCGTTTTAACATTGATAAGAATTCCTCTGTACCCTACCTGGTCCGACTCTTAACTAATAAGGAACAGGTCGCAAGTGAACTATGTCAGAATTTGTATGCATAAAACAAGCTTCAGTTACATTGCTCCGTGTTGCATATTATATGAAGCTGCATATTTTATTCCGTGTGACGTCCAGTGTAAGTTTTTTAACGAAAATATAAGCATATCGCACGAGTTTGATCAGTTCCAGTAAGAGTGCACAGGTTATACAAATATAAATACAAATACATCTTCATTAAAGCAGGTCACTTTAAGTTAATTTCTATTCAGAATAGCCATTGTGCTACCAAACCAGGCAATGGCTCTCCACATTCATTATGTTTTCTCTTGAATTCAACAATGTCAGCCTTGACGGAACATAAGAGTCTGGAGCGGATTACTTCGGTGAATGTTGAGTTCGTATTGCAGAAACTTGAGTAATTGATTCATTGTTCGATTCACTAGTGATCATTGTACGTATGCAGCTAATCGAGAGTAGCCGAAATAACTGAATTCATGTTGTCCTGATGAAATGTGGTTCTTCCTCGCCGTGATGAAAGTTGTTAAGGGAACTGGATGTAGGAAATTTCTAAAACAGCGCCTCCAACCAGAGACTATGCATTCTTTGAATGCCCTTGCGGATTTACGTTGTTCGGTGATTCGTGTGACCGCACGTTTGGATGTATGTTGTGAATGTTTGCGAACATCTGTGTTTCCTTATCAATTTGTGAAATCATTGCGCAGGGACAAACTGCCAGTCAACCGTCGAAATTTGCGCCGAGTGACCAAATCACGTATTGAATCCTCGAAACAGCACATTGCTGAAACACGTACATCTTGTGGTCAATTCAGTAAGATTTTGGATGACCTAACTTTTGTGTGCCTCATGAAGTTTTTCAACTTCATTCGTGTGTTCACCAATGGAAGCCTAATTTTCTGCCCCACCCGACCCCTAACTATTGCTGAAAGTTGGAACAAGTTTATCGTTGACATATTCACTTAATACTCTGCTTGTAAGTTCAAGTTAGAGTACTAAAAACAACTGAATACTTCTCACCAGGAAGGAAATCCTCATCCTCTTGGACAGTGGAAATGGTTTAAGAGGGAGTAAGTTTGTTTATCCCGCGTGAATGTGTCGTTTTTCGCTGAGTGTGTACACATGATCTATCACATGGTGGCATTTTTCAATTTACGGAACACTTCCGTCCTATCTCATCCATAAATGTGGATCATGATTTGAATTCCAGTGCCTATCCGATCTCTCGAGGCGTGTGATCGTTGCAAATTGAAATGCGTTCGATAGGGCTAGTTCCGGCCTCATATGCCATTCATCTTGGAGATCTGCTCATTAAAACAAAAATCAGCCTTTCCTCAGTGTTATTCTACTCTCCGACAACAATTTCACAGTACATTCACACATTGTACTCAATCCGATGAACTTCTTCTGGCTACAAACATTACCTCTCAGAGGTGAATCTATTGAATTCACTGTTATCGGCCGCATTAGTCTCCCCGGACCAAACAGCGAAGTTGCAAACTCTGTTTGGAGGCCCATCCACCTATAAAGCCGGACTGCTTGAAGTCCCACTGTTGGCAAGCTGGTCCCCCTCAAATTTACTGAAGGTCTCTTTAACACGCGATCATTCTACTCCTCAAACAAATAAACAAAGAATCATTACATGGATTCTCGTTTTTCTCCGAGGCCAATGGAAAAGCAAATGCGCGATGAACGCTCTGGGTACAAAATCTGACAAATCTGAATTCATGATTGATGCACAAAAAGAAGAAAGAGCATGTACAATGCAAACGGGATGATGGTGGGTAGTTTATGTTCAATTGGTTTAGTAGCAATGATTGAGAATGAATGAATGGACTTATAAGAGAATGGATTTTCCAAATCTTATCGATTGATTGATTGATTGATTCAACGTAGGAGAGGGGTGACGGTACGGTACGGAACAGTAAGAGTTGGTGGGATAAGATTTGGGCCGAAAATTCCGGATCTAACGTGTGGTGGCTATTCTGTTCGGATGCATCACATCAACTTGGTGCCAAAAAAAACAGATTGGCACCATCCTCGGTGGTTTTTTCCGTCGAAAGGGGAACCGGTAGAAAAGCGGGTGGACTGAATGTTTGGGGATGGGGAAAGGAGGGTGGAATCACCAGTTGGATACACCAGCCTATCATTCGGTTCTGTCCAGACAAACACTTTCGATTCAGTCTTTGCTATGTGACCTTGAAACCCCGTTCCGTTCGGCCAATGTAAGCGTACCATTTGGGTAACAATTGTAATTCTTCTCCGTTTGATGACCATTCCGTTCCGGTCCGTAGAATCCGGAGACTTGGTAAACACGAAAGTGGATACCTTCAGCATGGTCTGCGATGTCCAATTCACGTGACTTCGATCGACGTGCTTTAATGTACACGAACAATTTAATCAGCGCGGCTCCAATTAATACCAATATTGGTGCCACAATACTGCCGATAATATTTCGTTGATATCTAGAGACAAAATTGAAAAGGGATTGTCAAGTGAAATCATCCATTTAACATTAGCTAAAATAACTAATAATACGCAACTAAGCTGGTTATATGGCATTTTTTGGAACAGACGATCGTGAATATTTTGAAAGCCTATACGTCTAATGATTCAATAGGATACTGAAACCCACAATCAATAATTAGATTCCGGGAGTTTTGAATTAAAAGAGAAGAATAGTGCATACCCATATACCCCACTCTCACGGAGGTAAGTTACCGAAATCCTAAGATCAATGGAGTTGTATGATACACCTGACACGTGTTCAGATCACGGATAAGCGACAGGCCAACTAGGCGATTAGTCGAGAGCACGTGGACAGTGCTATTGCTGCACTGCGTACGTAGTCGCGGCCGATCAGTGGCAAAATCCGAGAATGTGACCGGTTTTCGATCGGTAAGCAATATGTGAATGTCAGAGGAAGTTGCAATTCGCATTTGACTCACAATTACTTGTGTGTAATGTTGTGGGATAATTGATATTGGTTGATTGACTAAAATTTACCATCCTTCAAACGTTACCTCCACGCACATTCTTCAGCCCTTCCAGTCAATCATACACTCGGAAGCACTAGACTCGAGTTTTACTCTTATTAGAGCTCATCAGTAGTACATATCCACCATCCCGTCCGAGATTTAAAATCCGGACCCATCGCATGGAAGACTGGAGCTGATTGGTACATTTATACACACTCGTTTCATCAGATGGGTCCGGAGTTCAAATCCCGCAAGGGACGGTGGAAATGCACTTCCGATGAGCTCTAATAGGAGTGAAACTCGAATCTAGTGCTTTTGAGTGTATGATTGAATCGATGAACCGAGGATTGTGAGTCAAGGGGAGGTATGAAGGATGGTTAGTTATAATTAATCAATCAAAGTTCCAGTAGTCCTGATACTTTGTAAAAATCTGGCCTGCTAACTGATAAAGAAACGAGCTCACTTTGGGAGTGAGAGTGGATTAGATTCGATCTGGGATTTTATGGTTTGGAATGTTCATCAACAGCTGACTGACACATAAGAAAGTAAAACATTGTTATATCATGAAAGGTCTAGGGAATACAAATCTGACGGTTGAGCTTTGGTGCAGACACTTTAAACGGTTTAAGATGACATTCTTACAGTCAGTCTTGACACAAAATGACGATGAAACTGTTTACTGATTCATTGGCCCATACAGAAGTTCATTTCGTATTGTGGACGTGTGTGGGGGCGGGGGCGGGGAGGGGGCTTCATTTGTCCGAGGACGGTTTACGTGTTTACGAGGTTAATACATACGGTTTGTCAATCCGGGACAAACTCCAATTCCAAGTAGCTCAAACATAAAACTATGCAAGTGACAGAGCTGGTGCTTTTCTGGTCAAAGACCGACTCGACGCATATGAAAACAAGACCATTCGGTTTCTCTTGCTCAAATCGACAGAAAGGGGTCATTCAATACACATTCGGCATGTCCAGTTTACTGTAAGATTTATTTGGGTTGATTATCCAGATAACCAGTCTGTGGACTGAATCCGTTTGTGCCGCCCGGGGTTTTGTTAAATCTTGTTACAGTTTTGTTTCTTAAACCCCTATACACACACACACTCAAAAGATCTATCACATTTTCTCAACACCGAATACAAACAACTCCAGGATTTTGTTGCATAGTGGAGTGTACATTCCTCCGTCAGAATGGAATTTCAAAATTTGCTTGGTGTAACCAGTGTCACATTGGGTTTTGGAGCTTACGTATCAAACAACTGCGAGAAGGAATTGCAAATTCCACAAAGCGTATTGCATAGAGCCCACAAAAAATAGCGATTTGTCTTTGATCATCTAGTAAAACTGATAAACTGCTGTATTTTATCCTCTAATTTTATCCAAACTATTACTTAAAAGCTCCAACTGATCAAGAACTGCCAGATTGTGCTGGCTGGTGCCAGATATCACTCAGATGGCGGTGATGGCCCTGTGGTAACGTCACCAAACTATCACCCCCTGAGGACGTGTGTTCGAATAACGCTCCCACCGCCTGACTTTCCCCCGCTTCTCTCGTCCAGACAAGAAGCTGGCCCCAAACAGGAGTGCAGAAAGAACACTGCGGACTGGCGGTGATTGTACCCTAATCACACGTGCCCTAAACCCCGACGCAAATTTTTCGAGTAGTTTTGTACTAAGGTACCCCAATCACTCAGGAGTGGAGGATATGCCATAAAGGACTGTGAATAATCAAAGTTGAGAGTTGTTAGAAAATGCTTCTTTGAAGCCAACTTGTGGATGGCTAATCAGCGCACGTTATTTTGGTCTATTGATCCAGGTCATGGTGTGCATCAACTAGGCCCCAACTATCGCCGAAAGGCGTATGCACATAGGCAGAGTAAAGGATGGAGGTGAGAGTAGCTTTATGTGCTAAAACGTGTTCGGTGCAACCTGGGAGGTTGTATGGACAATGACTGACTGGAGTGACTTTTTCTCCATTTATGCGCCTGTGATGAAAGTATAAAGGAAATTGACGCTCTCTCGATCTAGTGATGCAAATTAAAGAGATTTTCCATGAACTATCAACTATCTCTAGTCATTATGCAGGTCTATTGATTTCGGAATTTTGGGTGCTTTCAACTGCGATGCTTAGTCAAATATGTTTTTAACGGCGAGAAATAATTGTTTTTCGCTGTTTCTAAAAGAATCAGCTTTTACTTCTTCTTGTTCGATTGAACTACATGAATAAGTAAGCGTATCATAGAAGATTAGATGAGCAAAATACAATCCAAGCCAATAGCAGCATCACTTACTTGATAATCGGTTTATCTCGAAGTAGCATCGATTCCAGTGGAAACATGTCCACACCCCAACGCAAAAAGAACCAGTTCGTTTCGGTCACATTTTCCTGATTTTCCGCCAAAACCATGCATTCATATATGCCCGAAATATCGGTGTCTTCTTCAAGTTGCTTACGATCAATGATCAAAGTATATATGTCTGGTAGTACAGTGAATCCGTTCTTTACCACGCCGTGGTATAGGATAGTTGCGCCGACCGACGCGGGCAGCTTCCATGCAACTTTTCGTGCCATTGTCATATTATTGAATGGATAAAACTCGATATCTTCACATGGTATATGGATCAGTCCCTTAATGTTTCGGCTAACCACCATCCAAGGTAGCCGGGATTCGGTGGTATTTACCGCTCGGACTGCGGATAGTGTGCAGCAGAGCAGACCCAATATAGTACAGACGAAGCCACACCAACTGGTTGAACCGGATCGCTTGTTAAAAGCTACAACAGCAAGCATTGATTTGTCTGTGGAATGAAAATAGAATAAACATGTCAGTGAAACAAGTCTATCTATAGATTATTTCACGCTAAACGTATTGCGACAAATGCCTCCATTTGGATCACGTGTCTGTCAACCGATATTGAGTAAACACTGACGAAGTAATCTATCGGAGATACGATGAACAACCTTGCTTTCAGTGCTTTATCTACTGGCCAATTACAGTTCATTAAATAACTCTGGGAAATAACACAGGGAGACATTCAAATCAAGGTTTGATTATGTACAAAATGGAAGTTCAGAGATTGGGAGGGAGGGATTCGGTCTAAAGATGTTAAAGTCAGAATATTATCTACAGCAGACGCGATAGCAATTAGAATAAACAAAACCCCAATATGTGCACACAAACAGTTCGTTAACTGCCTTTCCCTCCCATGACCGTGTGTCCGAAGTACCCCCACCTAACACTTCAGTCTAATATTCACACTCCGCAAGGGATTATCACCAATTATGCGATCAGTGTTAAAATATTTCTCTCCATCCCAAACCGTGAACTCCCATTTTGCACATAATCAAACCTTGATTTGAATGTTTCCCTGTGTTATTTCCCAGAGTTATATAATGAGCTATAATTGACCAGTAGATAAAGCACTGAAAGCAAGGTTGTTAGTCACATCTTTGTTCTTCTGATGAATCTATCGGAGTTATTGACTCATTTGAAGTAATCTATGATTTACGATCAACTGCCTGGAGTTACCGAAGCGAAAATGGGTTCATTGTACAGAATGGATTATCGGATATTTCGGTAACCTCATACGTTTCCGCAGTGTGCAATACAGTTGTTTTACACTGTTTTAGGTGAACTGGACACTATGGTCAAGTGGACTGAACTACAAAGGTGGTGTGGTGATATAATGAACGAGGAATGCACCGGATTTCAGATTCGACAAACGTTTTCGATTGCGGCTACGCGGCACGAACTTTCCTCATTTTCGGAAACATCCTTTCCTTTTGATCCAGTTGAATGAAACAAGTAACACAATATGAACAGAATTGATATTGGCCATCAATGGCGCGTGATCTCAATCAGCTGTCTACTCACACTGATTAAGTGAAATTTTATAAGAATAATACCATATATGAACATTTACATAATTACATGGGTTCAGGTAGAAAGCAGGGGATTGCTGAGTCAGTACCACAGTTATTTGAGTATGGATGAAAGAGGTGGAGGGGATAATTATGACAAAGATTCAGAAAAAGGGGAATGTTAGCATAGAAACAGTTACGTAATAGAAGACGATTAACCGTGGTGGAAAGAGTTACGTAATACGACAAAAGATACAACCACAAATGAATTCGAACAGACATAGAAAAGGGTCAATTAAGTAGGTCAAAGAGAGTTACGTAACAAGGAAATGAGAAGAGTGAAGTGTCAACGATGATGTAAGAGAACGGCTGAGATGATGGGAAGGAAAGGGGATGGAAATTACCATGGTAATAACAACTACATCACAAAGGCCTTTTGCACGTATACGGCAGGCTTTAAACGGCCAATGAAAACCGTATCGGCAAACCTAAGCATCCTTGGGCTTCAAATTTTGAGCATAATGCGGAAAGCTTTGCGTTTGTTAATGCTTCAACCGGTATCCAGCAAATGTCATGCCACTGCACTTGCTGGAAGTTTTCCTTCTCGAAGTGATAAGTTATTCGGAACATGCTCACTCATTCTGGTCGACAGCCAGCGTTCAGTCCTTCTGACGTATCGCGAACCACAAGTACATTGAAAAAGATAAATGCAATTGGAGGTGACAGAATCACTGGATCTGTCTAGGCTTGACCGAACTAGTGATTTCATTGTCCTGTGAATCATGATCAGCTTAGCCGCAGGATAGATAGACTCAAATGTAGTGTGAAGCCGACGACCAACAAGTGCAATTACAGCGTCTCTCCTTTAAATGGACCCTGGTTAAAGAAATACCACCTTGTGGTTCGGTAGTCTAGATGTACAACCGGTACATATGGTTGGCCAGCCGTGAAAAATTTTGATGTTCAAAATAAAACGGATGAAGGAAAATATTGGTTCCAATGTGGAAAATAAAACTTCATCACTGACGAAAAATGCTTTTTTTCGATGTGTAAAGAACGAGATTATGAACAATACACCGATTTTTTTGGCTGCCAAAAAGTTATCACCCGTAGTTGAGCTAAACAAGCTCTCTTCTGTACTATCCACCACTTTTACATTAGTCTGACTTCTGCATAGGTCAGTATATTTGAACTTTGGTAGTCAAAAACGGAAAAGATTTTGATAATTAGTTCATGGAACAGCCAAGATGAGAGTGCTGGTGATTACAGTTTGATGATGGATGGTTTCCTTCCGCATCTGTTGATAACGGGAGACTAAGAAATAACATTCAAACTAAAATATCTAGTGGTACAATCGAAGTGCTTTACTGAGATCAGGTCGATAAACTACGCCGTGTGAAACAACTCACCGGTATATATACGATTTATATAACGCATAAAAGCCATCAGAATATCATACTAGAGGACTGTATCAACTGGGTTTGTGCTGACACACTGGAAATTGATAGATCAGGCAAGTAGTAGTTATCTGGGAAGACGTCCAAGTGGTTCGAAGTGGACAGACCCTGTCTCACTGGAATGGCTGCCTCATCAATACATTTTTTTCCATATGTGTTTGACTGACAATTTATTTGTCTCTAAAAATGTGAAGATCGCAGAGCCGCCCTTTGAATGAATGCACCATCACTTCCGGTTTCGATGTTGATCGGGAGCTATCTCATTTTCTGATAATTTGAACTCGAATTCCATGCAAAACGATGTATTTTAACGACTCGGACGATCACCACAATATATTCCGTCAGGTTTGCCAGTTGAATAGAAGAGCAAAAAGATGGACTCGCTGGAGTGCAGAGTACCTTCGATTGTGCGAATTCTAAAAGGTGATGATTGTTCCTTTTGTGGTTAGTAGGAACGTCTGATCCTTGTTTGAAAGCACTGCCGACTTGAGTAGCTTTCTCAGTTCTCGTATTCACTCTACCAATCGTGCGATGTGTACAAAAATCTTGGTTAAACGCATGTACTGAGGATTTGATTGTGTCCAGAAGATTATATTTTCCTAAGCAAAGATAGGGCACGAGATATCAGTGCAACTTCGGAAGTCGCACGAATGAATTTCTTTTGCCTGGCTACGAAAATTCTGTGAACAACACTTCCAGCATGGAAAACGCACACCAACACCAACATTCGCAACCCGAACTACAATCATTCTACATTATTTCCAAACACTAGCTCTGTTCGCAGCTGTCTTTTAGATGGGATCGTTGAGACCAGGTTCGGTAAGAGTTTTGGCGAGAGAAAACAGTTAACCGCCGAAAGCTTTCATCAAATAGCATTACTCCTCTCCGTCAATCTCTGCAGACAGCTGCATCATTACTCTCTCTCTCTCTTTGGAATCTTTCCCGTTTTCTGTTAACCTTTTCTCTGGCAAAACGAAAGCTAGTTTCATGTTCCGTTGTCCTCATCAGACTATATTGCTTGACAAAGGTAAGACAGCTTCCCAGTCTTTGAAGTTCAAATGAAAAATGAGGGAGGTCGTGCGTGAATTACAGCGCCCCGATATATCTTTTACTAGACAACCCCTGGGAGACCAAGGCAGAAAATTCGTTTGGCAAGGTATTTCTCAAGGTTTTCAATGGACCTTGATGGTCTATCTCCATCACTTCACAAGTATATTGCGGAACCATTAACTCGGGTTATAATGCTCCACGTGAATAGATTCGGAATGTGTTCTATTCGTAAGCCCTCAAGACTGATACACTTGTCCCTATCCCTAAGAACTCGACTCCAAAATTTGGTCTAAACGAATTCGTCCCATTGCCACCACTTCTTCCGCACACTAACTCGCTGAATGTTCTATTCTTATTCTAAATTGCCTACAAAACTCCACTCCACATTGGTCGCTGTATCATCCATCAGTCATCCACCTTATCATTGGGTCTATTGACCCCTGAGTGAGGTTCGTCCGTTGTATATATTTTCTGATTGTTTGACTCTGTCTCTCAATCTTTCCTCTTCCTTCTCCTCCTATTATTATTACTACTACTACTACTACTACTACTCAATTTAGAATGTTTTGTTTGCCCTCTTGCCGATGCTTTCATAAGTAAAGAGCTATTTAACTGACAGATATTCACCTGCCAAGGTGGACAAGAGTTACTCTCGTACATGGATGAATACCACCGGAGTTCTTCACGATGCTATGCTCTCTACTTGTGTAGTCACTGTTTACCTTAGTCATACATCAATAACATCCCTTGTCAAACTTAATAAATGCTCGGACTACGCTTTATTGCGTTTCAATCTTATTCCTCTTCTTTCGCTGTGAATCTCACTACCATTTAGAACTATTCTCTGCAATTAGGCCTTTGAGTGTGTGTGAAGTACCTCATACTCAAATGAACCATTCTGTTGTTTTGTTTGAAATGTGCTCTGTGGGATTATTTCAACGAACCATCGTGTATTGACAACTCTCTCGTTTGAAGAGTGGACACTATCAACTACCTTAGTGACCGCAAACTTAAACGTTATTCCTTCCATATCCGCAGGTTGAGACTATTTACTGGAGCATTTCTAGCTGCTCAACTCACACTTTGCCCCTATCCGCCGCAATGACTTGAATGAATGTAAACACAACTGGCAAACCGGGTCGATCTCACGCACATCCGAGCAGTTTACCTGCAGTAGAGAGCAAACCGTCAGCTATCAAAAAAGAAGCT